CCCCAAGAAAAAGCTGCGACCATCATCATTCATGCCTCGCTTACAAGCGCTACAACTAACCTGCTCAGTTACTTGATCCGCTAGGCCAAACCCCCAAGGACCCCCGCCCTCCAGATCTTGATGGCCGTCGCCGCCGCCCTCGTCCCCGCCGAAGGCGTAGAACCTGCAGATGCACCCCGACACTACCAGTCCTCGAAGAAGGTTGTGCCGTACCTTGGCGGTCAGCTCGGCGGGGGGCTTGGGGAGGGGGGGGGAGGCAAGCAGGGAAACGCGCAGAAGCCGGTAACCATTGTCGGTGAGATATCCAGGACAACCATCATCATCACCATGACAACAGTGAGGGAGAGGGCGGGGTAGGGCAGAAAGGAAACAGGCAGGAGCCGGCAACCATCATCCTTGGTGAGATTCAGAACCCGCAACATAAAGGACCAACATCACCACCATGACCACAACAACGACACCTTAGACAAGGCGGGGGAGGGGGGCAGCGGGGACACACAGCTAACCCGGCACGCATCGTCGTCGACGAGACTCAGAGACGGCAACATCAAGGTAGTGTCAAACATCTGCCACAACCCCACTTCGTGTTCGAGACGGGGGGAGGCAAGCCAACAGCTCGGCAAAGCTCTCAAGCCACGCGATCACCTGGCGGTGCTGCACATCAGTCCGATGCCGGTGCAGGCTCGAGTAGAACGACTGCAAGAGGCTCAGCAGGGGCTTGGCGTTGTGCGTCACCAAACGAACCAGCCTGCAAGCGGGCAAGCCGACCGCGGAGGGCAGCGACAAGGGGAAAGGGACAACCAAGCAGTGAGCACAAGCACCGCAAACCATGACACGTAATGCCGCAGGCGGGGTCAACATGGGCACAGAACATAAAACAACTCTCTGATCGAGTAACATGGTGACAAATAAGATACCACACACACCTCAAAAAACAAAAACATGGTACACTGAAACATTCGAGTCGGACAAAAGGTGTGCCCGTAGCGAGCAGCAGTGACAATGCTGTAGCGTTGTGTGCAATGGTATCATACCTCCGGCGATGATGTTTTCGAAATCTTGAGCATTGTTATAGTTAATATTTTTTGCGCGTTACCCTGCATGGGCCACCGCCTAGAAAAAAATAAGTCCGCCCAAAAATGGCCACATTGCGCCCCGTTTCGGCGAGGGTACAGGGACAAAAAAGAAATCACACAAATTGTCAAGAAACAACCACATATCGGGACATTTATACTTGATTCTTGCATTGAAAGAAAAATCCGTGCATTTTTCGTCGGGATCCTCTGCGCTCCATTTTTGCAACAAACCCAAGGTAAAAGTCATCGGCACTACCTTTCCACCTGACTCAAATGATTGCCACGCACAACGCTACAGACTGGCATGGGACTCGGTAGAGTCAACGCGGGGTTTGGACGTGGAAAAGGGCGTGCACGGGGTTCAGGACCGGGGCTCCGGTTAGGCTTGGCCTGAGGTACTGTGCGCTGTGAAGCCGACAGTATTCGTATGTCGCTCCTGGGAAGGCACCACGAAGGCAGGACTTCCTGGATAGCGGTCACAACGGCGCTCATCTCCTAAGACACCGCCAACAACAACAACAACAACAACAACAACAACAACAAATAACGACTGACCTAGCTAGGCACCGTAGAGAGGCATGCACGACGGCAGAGCCGAAGCGGTAGGCCAGCTGGACCAAATCGTCAGCCAGCTCTGTCATCTGCGTCAGGTCGGGATTCTTCATGAGCGGGAGCGCCTCGTACACCATGTCTGACACCTGTGCGCGAAGAAAGGGAGGGCGGTTGGTTGGGATTGGAAGGCAAGCAAGGAGTACGCACTCTTGTGTGCTGTGGGCATTTGGCGTGTGCTCTGTGTTGTGGGAGATGAGGCGCATAGGCAAACGGAGGGCGGGAAAGAGGACAAAGCATGAGAGGTTTACGACGGGCATACAAGACCGCCGGGATAGGGCGTCAAAAAGCAACATGTCCACACCTTACCAACTGCCCATCTCACCACGAACCAGGACTCGCAAGCAGAACGAGCCAGGCGCCGCAACCACCACCTGGACGCAGAAAACACAGCAGCGGCGAGAGCACCACCGCCAGCACCACAACGCAATAACACCCGTCATCGATCCCACCCAACCTCCCGGCAAAAACACACAAGCAAAGGAAAACACGAAAAGTACACCTCAGCTGTCTGCCTTCGCCCGACATCCGAAACAGAAAACAAACGCAAAAAAAAAAACACAAAACGCCTCACCTGTCTGCAGATCTCCGACTCTTGTGCGGCGGTGAGGCCGTTCTCCCCCTTCAGGTACGGCAGAAGGGATTGCACGTGGGGGGCCAGGAGGGAGGGGCTGGCACGGCAAAGGACCCCTAGGGTCGCGACGCAAGCCAGCAGCTGCTGCGGGAGTTCCTCAAGGGGACTATCATTTTTCATTAGGGGGGGGGGACGCGAAGGCAATGTGGGGGGAGGGG